ACCCTGAGATCAAGAGTCACACACTCCACCAACTGAGCCAGCCAATGCCCTGCATTTCTTGTCCTTCTCCTTCTCCTTCTTCTTCTTCTTTTTTAATAAGGTAACATTCACAGGTTTCTGGGGATTAGGGTGATATACTTGGGGGCCATTTTCTGGCCTAGCACAATTTGGCTTCTTTTGTTTGCGGGAAGTCACGTAACACATTCACCATCTCAGATGAGCTGTCCTTCCTTCTCCTGACTGACCGACGGTTCCAGACCAGAGAGTGCCACTCGGATTCCAGACAGTTGGTGTTTAAAACGATTACAAGCCCACTCTCAGTCATCAGCTCACTTTCGGGGTGAAGTCCTGGGCCAAGAACGCAGGGTTGTATCCACTTAGCAGGCTCTGAGACGTGCCCTGATGGATCCAGGGGAGTGGGCGGCTGGGGGCCGGTGACCAATCTGCCCGCCTTTGCCAGCATGAACAGGACCAGTGGACGTGACTCCACGTGATCCAGTGAGAGTAGGAGGGGAGCCTGTCGCTCCACCCCAGCCTCCAGGACAGAGTGGAACGCTCTCGGGCCTGCAGAGGTCAGGAGAGGCGGTTAAGTAGGAACACCTACTTCTTTTCTCCCAGTCTTGCCGCCACTTCCCTCTCTGCGTGTGTATTTTCATTTCCCTGTACATTCCTGCTGCTGTGTTCTCAGTTGTTCCCTGTGGATCCTCTGAGTAGCTGTGACTCAGAAAACCTAACAACAGCCTGGGACACGGGGGGGAAGTAAGCATGACCCTGTGCTTTAAGGAGGCCCTTCTCATCACCCCAGGCTTGTTTGGGACTTAGTCTCAGTGAGGTCCGTGCTGTTCCCATGATTTCTCACAAAATCTTCCCGGTAGGAAGCAGGAGACCAGGTCGGACCTGCGGGCGGGGAAGCTGGCCGACCGGGTGTGTGCCCCCAGGGCCACCTGCTCTCATCCACCAGGCCTTCCCTTTTGGGGTGTTTCAGGTCCCACCGCACTGAGATGGGAGCAGAACCTTGGGGCCCTGCAGTTCTCTGCCCTGAGTCCCTCCTGCAAGAGGCCTGGGCACACAGGGCTCGCTGGTTTCGTACAAGGGTCCTCACGGCTCACCATCCCACCGGGCATAGGGCTCCATGCACACCCAGACCGCCAGCATGCAGGCGCGGTGCACCTGCTAGGGCCCCTGGGGGCTCACCTGGGTCGGGGAAGAGCTCTGTGAATGGGCCGAGGCTGGGAAGCACTTGGCAAGTCAGGGAGCGGCATGTCCAGCACGTCCTTCGGTCCTTCGGTCACGATGTGTCTGAGAGACTGCGCCCCGACCAGCAGTCCCGGCTGCCGCCCTGGGCCTGGGGTACCTGCGGCGGGAGCGGAAGGCGGGCCTGCGGAGGCTTCGGGCACACGGTGGGCCTGTTTCCGCCTCACCGGAGACCAGGTGAGGTTCCTGACACGGCTCACTTCTGCATCCTGCTTCTCAGGGCCCCGCCCGCATCGGGACGGGCAGCCCCCCCCCCCCCC